GTTTATTTTAGGGGCAGAGCTTTGAAATACACGGTTGCATAAATAAGGTATGAGAAATCAATTAGTAGCTAGTAAATCTAGGATCAAAAATTTTGTAATCACTGGTCCATGAATGAACCAAGTCAGAAAAGTTAGGAAAGTCAGGTAACTTAAATCGAGTCATAGGGAAATCAGCAAATAAGGAAAGAAATCAATCAAACCTATACAGAAGGAAGTCTGAAACTAATCAAGATCTGAAAGCCATTTTAGAGGGGGGAAGTCCAGCACATATAAAGAGTACACAAGTATTAGGCATGAGATAAGGGATCAAGTGAAAGGTCTTATAGAGTTTGGCAAAAGTCAGAATCATATGAAGAAACAAAATTGAAACAATGATTTGAAACTTAATGAAGTAGTAGATGAAACAATTCCAGGAACTCAAATAGGTCCAAAAATTAGGGTTTTTGAAATCAGGCAATTCCAGAGATAAAGAGCCAGCAAATCACATAGCCAAGGGTCTCAAAACTCGGAAGAACCCCCAAATTTAGGGTTCTTGCCATTAACTGAGTGCAGGGACGAAAGTGCAAGTGATTAGGGTAAAAAATACTACTTGAAATAGGTTCAGAGGTCTCAGAAAGGAACTGAGACCCTTAACATGTCTTTTAGTAGCAGAAACTCATGAACAACATAGTAAAAGAACAGCATGTGAAACACAGTAGAGGAACTCAAAGGAACATAGTAGAAGAACTGATAAGAAAGATAATGGAAAAAATTAATAAGAACAGTCGGAGAAGCATATTAAGAAGCATATTAGAAGAAACTTAACTAGAACACAGTAGAGGAAACTTAATAAGAAACACATAAGAACACAATAGAAGAAACACACAAGAACACAGTAGAGGAAAATACAGTTGAAGAAACACACAAGAACACAGTAGAGGAAAATACAGTAGAAGAAACAAACAAAAGAAAGAGAAAATCAGAGAAACATCTAAATATCTCAGAAAAACTCTAGATCGGAAAAGAAATGGTTTTGAAAGTATAGTTTGTTTGAAAGAAAATCAAGAAAATCGTTTAAAAGCTTAGGGAAAGCATAGATCTGGAACAGATCTAAAGAGATCAGAAAAACCTCAAAAGCTAGGGTTTTCAGAGGAACCCAAACGGTGAGAAAGGCTTGGATCTAAGAAGGAAGGGTCGAGGCCAGGCTCGAAACAGTCATGGCTTGCCGGAGCAGGGCCGGAGATGGCCGTAAAGCTTGAATCAATAGAGTTTTGGACCCAACTCTTCGTGATCAAGTCATGAAACTTCAATAACCAAGCGTGAGGAGCCATAAGGGGTTGGTGGGTGGTAAAACCACCATGGATTCAGGCCAAGAGGTGTCCGGAGAAGATGAAAGGAACTCATCGAAGAGAAGGGGAGGGGGAAGGTTCTAGAGAGAACCAGAGATAGAGAGATAGAGACGAGTGAGGAAAATGAGAGGGGTATTTGGGGGGGTCGTCTGGTTAAAAAAGGTAAGCGCGGATCTAGACCGTTGATCAAAATTGATCAATGGCCAAGATTTGATTCGGGTTGGGTCAAGTAATTTTAGGATTGGGCTTGGGGTCTTGGGTCAGTTTAATTTGGGTTGGGGATTGGGTTTAATTAGGCCAGATTTTAGGCTAAAATTGAAACGAATTGGGCTATTATTTAAATATCCATTTTTTCCCTTTTAAAATTATAAAAAATAGTAAATTAATTGTAAGCCCCTAATATCATCTCATGAAAAATCTCGATCCTTGGTCGAATGCAAAATTCGGGAATCCACCAATATTACATGTACATGCCTCCAGCCCAAACTGATATAAGTCTGACTCTGCAATATGAATGCCACTATTGGACTCCTCCACTTGGCGCAAAGCCATAGGAAACAATATCTTATAATCCACAAAACTACTCTTCACAACTCGCACAACACAAATCACCAGGTACTCCAACACCACCAACTACTCCCAATCAACACCCACCTCGTGACCTTGCCAAAAATTGCGACGACTAGTCAACTAATTAAACCCTCCCAGCTCGTACTCATCAACCAGATATCGGAAACTGTTGCGCCTCCATACGAACAACTGAATAGTCTCTCAATACCTCTGGGTCTTCAGTCTAAACAACATGTTGAGACAATGTTTGAGCATCCGTGAATCCTTCGTAGTCCGTTTGTAGCATCACGAACATAAGTTATGTACTTCGAGCTGAATCAATATCGCACGATAAGGAATGAAAGAAGGAGAATTTCCTAACAGTTCTGTAGCTTCTCGAAGATAAGTACAGACGTCTCCGTACCGATCCGCAAGACTCTACTAAACCTATTTGTGTCTCGTAGCACCCATGAACCTAGAGCTCGGATACCAACTTGTCATGACCCAAAAATCCCTCCGAAGGAGTCGTGATGGCACCCAGTCTCTAAACTAGGTAAACCTAACATAAACTGAAGTAATATTGATGCTTACCAACTTTAAATTAACCAACTCTGAATAATTCAAAATTCCCAAAATCGGTGGTACAAGTCACAAGCCTACCTAAGAGTAGTTACACAAAATAATACATCACTGCCCCGAAACAAAGGAGCAAATGGAAATAAATACAAATGAAGGTGACTCCGAGACCTGCGAACGCTGTAGCAGGTTTACCTTGAGTCTCCACCGCGACAACCCGCACAGCTACTATTAATCCACCTGGATCTATACACAAAAATGTATAGAAGTATAGTATGAGCACACTACGGCGGTGCCCAATAAGTATCAAGACTAACTTCGGTGGGGTAGTGACGAGGAATAGTCAGGACACCTACTGGTCAAATAAAATTAACAGGATATGATAATAAAACATCAAGATAAAGATAACAAAGTAATATCAACTGCGGAGAGAAAATCCAAGTACAAGCAGTATAAACAATAAAGGGAGAACAGGGATAGTAACGAACAAAAACCAAATAAATCAGATAACCCAAGCAATTCAACACTAACATAACAGAGAAGGAGACAAGTAAGAATGTATTCAATTAAAGAAAACAATGTCAACTCAATCAATCACATCATGTTTAATATACCATCCCGATCATTTCAATCCTCGATTTCTCATATCATTATCTCAACTTTCGAACTTTCAGCACATATGGCACCTTGTGCCCACATTTTTTCCATCTCACTTTTAACAATAAAATCCACATGATATACAATACAAAATGTCCTTACAAATGTACTTAAGATGTTCAGGAAGTCATATTTACATAATACAAATTAAATTACAATTTCTGAATAAATTTGGAAAAATTGGCGTGAAAAGATGAAATTGTTTTTAGAAATGATTCGAGTAAGAAAGTACCCCTTTTCAAATTTAAAATACAACCTCGGAAGAATTATTACCTTTAATAAGGGAGTTCATAATTTAAAACTTAATAGAAATTCCTTTTTAAGAAAAATACAACCTCAGACGGTTTAAGAAAATTATGAAACAATTATTGAAATTTGAAGTAGTGAAAAATATGTAAATAAATACAGCAAAGTATTGAAAAATATGATGGCTTCCTTCACAAAGGATCACGGCGGTAAAGGAATCTGAGCAGTTAGAACACTTGAATTGGTAACAGCTACTAAACATAGCAAACCAAAAGTGCACGACACTAAAATCCAATTAAAGAACAAGGATAAGGAAAACAAACATAGAATTTCACTTTCATTTCATATCTTGTTGCAGGCATGCAACCCGATCCCATTTCACATGTCTCGCTGCAGGCGTGCAACTCGCTCCCATTTCATATATCTCATTGCAGGCGTGCAACCTGCTCCCATTTCATATATCTCGTTGCAGGCGTGTAACCCGATCCCATTTTAGATATCTCGTTGCAGGTGTGCAACCCGCTCCCATTTCACATATCTTGTTGCAAGCGTGCAACCCGCTCCCATTGACAAATCATCATCAATCATAAAAAAATCCCGGCAAGGGAACAAGAATATAACATCATTCCGGCAAGGGAGACACTATCATAAACAATAACATCCCGACAAGGGAACAATAGCATAACAACAACATCCCGTCAAGGAAAGAAATATGTACATAATAAGAGTCACGAAAAAACCAAGAAGCACGATAACATCAACAAACAACAAGACATAATAAGCACGTGATAATTACACCGGTAACCACAACAATTGGACACGTAACATATTTGCACGAAGTCATAGAGGAACTCACAATCAAGAAGTATCAAACAATAAGGAAGGCAATAACTTCAATTAAGGCAATTAAGGTCTATGTAACACGTAAGAATTAAAGGAGAGCTAACAACGTCATATGGAGCATATAGAGGCAATTTAAGCAATTAGGAAACTCAATCATAACGAGATGCTTTCCACATAAGGACCTAAGAACCCTAGAGGCAAATTTGTCCATAAATAAGTTCGAGCACACACTCGTCACACATGCATGGACTACATTTAGCATAGAAGACTAAATTCCTAAAGGGGAAGTCCCCACACATATTTAGGCAAGATACGTACCTCAAGGACGACAAACCGATACTCTAAAATGCACTTCTCAGGTGAAAAGACCTCCGGACGGCTCAAATCTAACCAAATTGACTTCAAAGCACAAATAAATCATATAAGAAATTATTCTGGATCATAAAGTTTCAATCTTTAACAAAATCCAAAAATTGGTCCAAAAAATGACCCCCAGGCCCGCGCCTCGGAACCCAACAAATTTTACAAAATCGTAATATCCATTCCAATATGAGTTCAACCATACAATGGAGCGGTAGATTAGGGCACACGAAGAGAGAAATATTCAAAATGTATAATGACAGCCTTTTATAGACTGATACAGGCTGTATCCTCACGTGCACGACATGTGCAACTAACCACCTCTAATAGTACTAACTAGCTCTAACAGTTATTAGGCAAGCTAACTAATCATTTATTATTTCAATAAGTGTTAGTCGTATATTTGGAATTGAGTTTTCTTTCTTTCTCACATATATACAGGGAATGCTAGATGAATCTCTAGTTGACGCATTCAATGTGCCAGTGTATTTTCCCTCTCCTGAAGACATGACTAAAGTGGTGGAGAAAAATGGCTGTTTTAGCATCGAGAGAATAGAGTTGACATATCCCCNACAATTAGTTGTGCCTATTTAGTATGTATTACTCGGGAGAGAGTGCATATTTAGGCAGTTGTTGAACAACATCACTTCTGACGTATGTGAGGAATCAATATCCAAGGGTTTAAAGGTAGGATTAGGGATAACGAAACTGTCACAACCCCGGTTCGCCCTCCGTGAACTATTGTGACGGCACCTAGTCTCTACGACTAGGTAAGCCTAACAATGCGGAAAAGGGAGAGAGGGAGACCACTGAATCAGTTGGCTCAGCTCTGAAAACTGAGTGACGAGAATCTGTCTTCACAAACAAATAAACAAAAATTGCGGAAGAAATAATTAAAACCGAAATAGTAAAATAAGATAGTTTTTAAGATGTTGCTCGGCATATACAATAACAACTCTCGAAGCTAACAACATTTTCCAAAATTCGGAATCTCATGAAACACAAGCTTTTGAATATCTAAAGTGTCTAACTCCAGAATATCTAACAATGAAAAGAAATACAGAAGGGTTAATACTTAAAGGGAGGATAGAAAGGGATTCTTCGGTCTGCGGACGCGGTAGATATACCTCGGAGTCTCTACAAGCGCCTTGTCTCAAACATGATAAATCTGAGTGGAAGTACCTAAATCAGCACATGAAAAACATGCACAGAAAGGACATGAGTACACCACAGCGGTACTCAGTAAGTGCCAAGCCTAACCTCGATCGGGTAGTGACGAGGAAGGTCAGGGCCCTACTGAGGTTAAATAAAATACAAGGTATAAAAGTATAGAATAAGACAGTATAATTAAGTGTAACAGTATAAATAACACATGATAGAAAGAACAATCATCAATTATAATAGAGACAAGATAATCACGGAAATAACAACCGGGGATCTCTTGGTATCCCAATCATGGAAATAACAACCGGGGATCTCTTGGTATCCTTAATATATGTTAGGGATCTCTTGGTATCCCGAGGATCTATTGGTATCCTAAATATATGCGAGGCTTACCTCCCAACGTTCACGATCAGCTACCATCTCATCTAAATCAGAAAATCGACCACCAAACTAAACCTTTTGTGCATATGACTCCCTTGGAGGTTCCTCTCCTTTGAATTCCCACACGAACGGGCGCATGTCCTCAATCGGGGGCCTCTTTTGCTCTCTCCCTAACTAGTGCATGACGCGTAGAGGCGCATAGGGTTGGAAACCCATGAGTATGAAGAATGGGAGATACGTCGACATATGCATGACCCTAGCAGAAGGGAACCAATAATAGTTCCAAGTTATTCTATCAGCATTCAATGAACCAAGTAATTTCTGCCAGGCCCTCACCCCCTCTAGAAGATTACAACTTGCGACCCTGTCTGGGTGGCATCCAATGTAATTCAACCAGTTTTCATTGAAATTTATTACTATTGGATGATGATAAAGGTGCTCTATGAACCACATCTGCAACAGAATGTTGCATCCCTCGAAGTAATCTTCACCCTCTTGGCGGCGGGTCAAAGCTCGAAAAATATCTCCCAAAATCATGGGAAGAATGGTATGATCCTCGCTACTTTGCAAATATGAGACCACCGCAACCAATCGAATTCTGATGCGCCTACCACGCTCTGGAAAGACCATGATCCCTAGAAATGATATCATGAACGCGAAGATTCTCAACTCCCTCCAAGCGTCGTAACTCAACTGGTTGACGAATTCTATGCCCGAGAAATTTTTGAACCCTTTCTCGTCCCCAAACCTATCATAGAGATATTCCAACGGAACCCAACCTTCGTTTAAGCAAACCATTGGAATTCGACGGAGACATAATTTCTTTAAAAAGTTGCTCACACCAACATTTCTCGGAGCAGCAGGCTTTTTCCCACGAAGGTCTCTCCCCAATCCGGTGAGCCCACATAACTCTTCCAATGTGGGCGTCATTTCGCAATCTTTGAACCTAAAGACATTGTTCGCGGGGTCCCAATAACCCACTAGAGCCTCGATTAAATCTCTATTAGTCTTAATTCCCATTATGTTTGTAAGGAACTTGAGGTGCTTAAATACTTGATTTTATTCCCATGTAGCAAAACTAGCCCACCAATTACAGAGAATACTCGGGGTATTATCTCTGATCAAGAACATAGGAGGTGTCTCGTCCCTTACCCTTTTCTGACTGCTTCTTTGTGGAGAACTCATGGTGATCCTACGAGTAAAATAAAAAGGGTTAGGACTTACCTAAACTATATGCAAATTATGATCATTCATTATTTTATTTTATTTTTTGGCCAATTTAGGACTCGATCTATATTTTTTAATTACAATATATATTTTGAAATTACCGGACACAAAAGTTGAGATGATAAAAGCAGAAAAATGGTTATTATTACAAAATGGCCCTTTAATACTTCCATAGAAGGCATAAAGGATGTCTCAGCAAAAAACAGCCAAATATAGGAACAAAATGATAAAAATAGACAAAATAAAAAATAAAAAATAATTATTTTTACGAAAATAACCCTTTGCTACTCCTATAGGGGTTAAAAAGTTGTCTCAGCAAATATAACCAGACAAAGCTAGATAAAAATGGCTATTTTTTGCAAAAACAGTTTTTCGGTACTTCTGGAAAGGTTTAAAGTTGCTTCGACAAAAATGGCCAGTCATAAAGCCAAATGGTAAAAGGTGAACAAATATGGATAAAGTAACTACTTTTACAAAAATGGCCCTTCGGCACTTCCCAGGAAGATTTTAAGGTTGTCTTGGCAAAACAGCTGGAGCATAAGGGCAAGACAGTAAAAGCTGACAAAAATAGGATTTTTTTTTTTTGAAACATGTGGGCTGAACCCGATGGAGGTTGTCTACGTATTTCACATCCGGTGAGAATCAAACTCGCGTAGTTTAGTGAAACTGGGTACTTTTCTCTTTTGATTTTTATGAAAATTAATCTTTACACCTCGTGCCAAACTACTAAATTTTTTTTTTAAAAGGTTATTTGCGCTAAACTATGAGAAAGACTCTTTTTTTTTCTTTTTTCTTTTTTTTTAATGATTCCGCTTCGCCAATTTTCTAAAGCCGGTCGACAATGCAAGTAAGCCTTCCAAATGATGTATCAAGTAGCACATACGTTAACATGATGGTCTTAAATAGGATACCTGTCTTATACGGACCCGGCCCCTGTGCCGAGTTTTGCTAAGTCAAATGATGTGATGCACATAGAGCGAACCTACTAGGGAAATCCGGTATGAGGTTTGTTCTTCTAGGTTTAAATCCTGGTGGAGAAGGTATCTAGACTGGCTTACTCGAGCGGACAACTCGAACCGAGGAGGGTCAGTGTACCGGTAGCATTGCTTTCCGGCTTAACTGGTGGTGCTCCCCGCCTAAAACATGTGTGACTAAAATCCTTCACCGGGTGACAAGCACCTCGGCTATCTCAAAGAAATCGGGCTATGTCAAGCAAATGCCCAATTTTTAATTTCAAGAAGACTCAGAGGGGGTGCGTGAGAAGACAGTTTATATGTACAGTTCAACAATATCGAAGCAGTAAAAACTGAACAGGCAGCACATTAGGCACAGATAAATCACAATATATACAAAATTAATAAAGCTAAATAAAAAGTCAACATGTATAAGCTCGAATTCTTAAAAGGTCCCCAGCAGAGTCGTCAGAGCTCTCACACCCATTTACTACCCCTCCAAAAGATAATGTGTGTTATGGATTGTGGGTTAAAGAGTTTTTTTCAATTAAAGTGACAAATTTGAAATAGGGATTATTTTGTTATTCAGAGTCGCCACTTGCAATTGATTTTTGGGTGTTCCAAGTCACCTTTTATTTGATCCCTATTCAAAGGAAAGTTTGACTCTTTTATTATTGATCTGCGAAAACAAAGTCCGGGTAAGGAATTTTGTTGACCGGGGAAAAGGTGTAAGGCATTCTCCGAGTCTCGTGGTTCTAGCACGGTCGCTTTATTGACTATATTTGGCTTATACTATTTTTTGGATAACTTGTGTTTTATTGGTTCTCATCTTTTACCTATGTCCGCTTTATTGCTTGATTAAAATTATGNCCCGAGTCCCGTGGTTCTAGCACGGTCGCTTTATTGACTATATTTGGCTTATACTATTTTTTGGATAACTTGTGTTTTATTGGTTCTCATCTTTTACCTATGTCCGCTTTATCTCTTGATTAAAATTATGAAAAACAAATTATCTTGAAATAAGTTACGCGTTCTAATACTTATTTTGTTACATATCACAATTATGCCACGGAGACCATACACATAGCCATGATATTTAATTATTTAAAGCGCACCTAAATAAACTAGCGCACTTGAAGTATTTTCCTAAACTAATTTAAGATTATTGTAAGGCCAAAAGTTATGGAATTGTTTGTGGAAAAAGTGTATGATTTTAGATATTTGAATAAATAAATTATCATATACCAATACCCTACATCCCAACAATTGAAGCCTAAACTTATCAGTGTCCAAATCTTCCAAATTTTTAACAAGTTTAAATACTATATTTTCAGAAACATGATTAAACATATAACATTTAAGGATTGATTTACATTATTATTTATAAAATTTAAAGATAAATAAATAAAATTACATAAAATAAGATTAAAAAAAAAAGGAAGAATAAATATTTTAATGCAAGATTTCCAATTAAATGAGTCTCCAAGAATATGTACAATAAATCAGACAAACGCCAAACAAGCATAAGCAAAGATGATCATCAAAGCCGGTGAACAGAGCTCCAACGGAATCCTCGACCTCGATTGTTAACACCACTCTTTGGCGTGTAAAAGGGGATGTTTTGAAGTATTTTTGTTGGGTTTTGGGGTGTTGAATTGCTGGAAATTTTCGAAAGAAAGAGGAAGAAAGAATAACACGAGTAGAAATTGTCGTAGCGTAGGAGAAGAAAAAATGTGTTTCTCTCAATTCTCCCCTCTCTTTTCTCTCCTTTCTCCCTTTTCTTCTCAGATTTTCTCTTCTATTTATAGCAAAATTTTCGAAATTTTTCAGAATTATTTTTATTTTTTTAAAAATATTTTATTATCTTTTAATTAAAAGAAATCTCACTTACAATTTGCTTTTCTTTTTTATAAAAAGAAATCCCACCTTTATTTACTTTTATTTTTTAAATTCCAACTTTAATTACTTTTATCTTATTTAAAATCTCACTTTTTTTTTACTTTTAAAAGAGGATTCCACTTATTTTACTTTTCTTAAAAAAACAATCCACTTTCTTTTGCTTTTCTTATAAAAATTCTACTTTATTTTACTTTAATTTTTTTTAATTTTCAGCTACCTTTATATTTATTTTTTAATTCCAACTTTCTTTACTTTTTATTTTTAAAAAATTTTCACAAAACTTTACTTTTAATTTTTCACTTTCTTTAACTTTTCAAAAGAGAATTCCACCCACTTTTACTTTTATTTATTTTTTATTCCATATTGCCCTTTTTCTTATTTTTTATATCTCACCCAAAAATTAAAAATAAATTAATATTTTTCGAATTTTTTATTATTTTAAAAATAAAAATAAAAAATAAAATAATAGTAATAGTAATAATTCACCTTTTAAAATTTTGTATTTTTACCCTATAATAAAAAGTGTAACAAAGCTAAAAATTGTAGGTTAAAACCCCTAAAATATTTACATAGAAGAAGTGACAAAAAATTAAATATTGTCAAAAATTAGGTGCTCACAGCGTGAACTAGTACGCGAACACGAAGAGTAGAATTGCATAGCTAAAACGCGTGAGGGGGACACGAACGCGATGAGGGATGAAGCAGAGCTTCGCGAACGCGAGGAGTGTTGCGCAGACGCAAAGAAGAATTTCCACGTGGTCAGCAGCAAAGCTTCGCGAACGCGAAAGGATGCTCGAGATCGCGAAAGAGGATACCAGAAGCAGAAAACAGCAGTTCAAAAACAAGAGAAAATGACTCGTAGCCCATCCGAAACACACTCGAGGCCCCCGGAACCCCATCCAAACACAGAACAAGTCATATAACCTAACACGGACTATCTCTAAGTCTCAAATCACATAAAACAACACCGAAACATCGAATCACACCAAGAATCGAACTTAGGAACTTTTCAAACCTTCTAACTTCCAAAACTCGTGCCAAAGACTATCAATTCAACCCGGAATGACGCCAATTTTTGCAGACAAGTCCAAAATGACATAGTGGAGCTGTTCCACCTCTCGGGATCACATTCCGACCTCGATATCACAAAAGTCAACTATGGGTCAAACCTCCCCATTTTCCAAACTTTGACTTTTCCAACTTTCGCCGAAACACCTCAAATTACCCTACGAACCTCCAAATCTTAATCCGGACGCGTTCCTAAGTCCAAAATCACCATACGATGCTATTGAAATCACCCACGACTCATTCTATGGTCGTTTATTCAAAAGTCCAATTCAGGTCAAATTTTCACTATTTAAACTTCCAAAACTAGGTTCTTTCTTCCAGTTCAACTCTGATTCATCCGGAAACTGAATCCAACCATGCACACAAGTCGATATACATAATGTGAAGCTGCTCGAGACCTCAAACTATCGAATCAGGAGAAATTGCTCAAAACGACCAGTCGGGTCGTTACAAAAACCCAAATCCATCATTCCACAGTTATCCATACAAGTACTGAAATCAAGACTTGTATACTCATTCTATGTGGTCTACCACCTTTTTTCTCATCTGGGTCTAGAATGACATTGAAATCACCCCCAATTCACCATGTACCATTCACCTGGAGATTAGTAAACTCTAAGTTACGCCACAGTTCTCTCCTTTCTTCAGGAGTGCATTTAGCATACACTGTTGTGATATAGAGATCACTTTTAGCAGCCTTATAATGCAATTTGATAGTAAGTTGTTGATCATGATTGTTCAAAATAGTGGTCATGTTGTTGCCTGACCACATGATCCAAATATGACCATTAATATTGGAGGTACAATGTTGATAGCCAAGGAATCTCCTACACCTTTTAATTTGATTAATATGGCAAAAGGTTCTAGAATGGAAACAAGTTCCACCTTATAGATGGTAATATTTTTTTTAATCTTGGTTAAGCTTTTTTGGTATTGACTCCCCTAATGTTCCAAAACATTGTACTTAATCATGGAAACAAAAATCAAGTTAGCATGAGTTTCCTCCTTTAGGAGATATAGTATCTTTGTTTTGGTTCTTTTTTCCTTTTTTCTTCCCTTTTTCTTTACCTCCTATGACCTAAAAGGATCCTTCCTTTGAGTCTGTTTGGAGTTGGTCTTCTAGAATCATGACTGTTATCCTATTAGGGGAGGTCACTTCAATTTGTTTGCTTATAACATATTTGTCTTGTTTTGGATTGGATTCTATATTGATATCAACTACCATATCGATCCCAGGAAGATTTCTAATCTCTGAAGGAACAGTTGTTGATTCATTGACATAATCTCTCATTGTAAGAGCTTTCTTTCCTTCTTGTCTTTTCTCTTGATCTCCATTTTTATTTGGATCACTATTTTCTTGTATCGATTCCTGATAAGCTTCTTTAGCTTCACTGTTATTGGTAGACCCAGTGTGATCCTTACTGCTTGGATTTTTAATAGAGGTATCTTGGCTATTGGCAGATCTAGTGTGACCCCCTTTTCGAATGTTGCTTGACTGTTATGTTCATTCTTAACCTCTTCATGTTCACTTTTCTGATTCATATTTTGTAAAGCCATAGTGATCTCTTTGTTGTTCTTCTTACCCTTGTTTGTAACATCAGACAGATTGATCATAGGCTTGAAAATAACTTTAGACTTCTTCTTGGGCAATTTCTTGTGTTTGCGCTTCTTAACTTTTCTGCTGGTTCTATCTTTGATATTTTTTCCACTTGATTATATATCTTATTGTCACTATTTAGAGCATTATTTATAGCACTGATATTTTCGGAAACATCCTATTTGTTATCAGTTTTATTTTCTTTTGTTTCATCCCTCTGATTTGCCATAGTTTTTTGAGCTTCCAATTCTCTATTTTCATCAGCTTTCTTCTTTCTAAAGCTCTACAGTTGATCATATTGTGTCCCAGCTTTCGACAAAATTTACACTATTTTGACACATTAAATTCTATTTTTTGCACAAAACCTTTCTGAGGGGCATTATCATATGTCTGTCCCACATAAATAGAGTCTGGCTAGTCTTTAAGCATGTCGATTTCGACTCTGACTTTTTCCATGCTAGGCCTCGTTCTTCCTCTAGTACCAATTGAACTCACCACTTGTTTTACATAGTTTCGTGCGTGCATATGAAAAGGTAAAACAGGAAGGAGGACCCATACCGGAGCAATAGGCAAATCCTCTTCAGTTTTCAAATCAGAGGACCATTTTTGCAGCCACATCTGTTGTCCTTCAATTTCAATCACCCTTCTGAACCAAACTATGTTAAAGTCTTCTTCATTGGTGAAATCTAGAAAAACATTATAGTTGTCATAAACCCCAATCTTGGCAGAGCCCTTAATCGAGATTAATTCCTTAAATTTTGACCTAATTTTGTCAATTTTGGCCTTGGTTTGAGGAATCGCCCAACAATTGTGAGCTTGCATTCTTTTGCCATAACACCATAATGATCTGTTGCCTTGAAAAGAGCTGCTAGCATTCCATTATGAGTGGTGTGAGTAGCTATAACTGATTCCTGCCATGGCGATTTTGGGGAGTCGGTACATTCGAGGTGGAGATGACTTTGGTAGCATAGGACCCATTTGCATCTATAAGTTCAGTACGTTGTTTCGCCGTTGTGTTTGGAGTCGATTGACCTTCCAGACGCGCCGGAGTGGCCCGTCCGGCGGGTCCATCGGTAGCCGTGTGTAGAAGACGTCGGTTAAAATATAGCCATTGTGGGTCTGGTTTAGAGAGAGAAGAGAGAGAATTTTCTTAATGCGCTACGGTATAATGAGTTCTATACTGAAAATCTTAAAAGTTGAACTCATTAAATCTAAATTCGGAATTTATCTTTGAATAGGTACTCGGATCAGCACATAGTGAAGAGGCGTTAGCGTCTATTCTCTTAGTTCCCACTGGATAAACCTTGTGTAAGAGAAAAATACCGTCCACGGCCAATATATTTGAAGAATAAACAAGGAAAAATAAAAACCGTTGTAGAATCATGCAACATGGACCTGAGAATGACAAATGCAAAAATGTTATAAAAAGAGACATTTAATAACTTGATATGTGTGCCCTAGCTACTTTGTATGTGGTTGGGATATTATAATATTGCCAGTGAATGCAGGATAATGTTTTGCTGGGGAATTGCCACTGAAATGTGGGGTACTCTTGGTTCAGAATATTATATATTGTCATATTGATGATTAATTTTTTCGCTTCTCCACTGAAAAGGAATGAAGAAAGGTAGGTTACGTTGCTTTTCTTTCTCCATAACATAACAGAGGGAGAATTACGTCGTGGCCAGCCTTCCAACCAAAATACAGTACATATTTTGGTGGAAACTTCCCCAATTAACTTAGCATATTGAAATAATAAAATAAAATAATTATTGATAGCAGTCATCTTAGAGTTGTTGCCTTGCAAAAAGGGAATCTGTGTCCCACTCACTCTATCCACATTTATATATATATAAGCAACAACTGTGGGGAGAAAAAGGAAAGCTTATAATGAAGAAAAAGTATCAAGCTTTAGACAAAATGCAAAGATATTATTTCCCAATGAATGCTGGTGATGGTGCCTACAGTTACTCCAGAAACTCCCAATTGCAGGTATTATATTTAATTTCTAGCTTAGCTTAACTGTTCTGAGAAACATGGAACGAAAAATATCTTGAATCCAGTGTTTAAAACATATATAGCTTTGTAACAAATAAGAATTTTCAGTCTTGCATGTGAACGTATTCTTTTTCACATATAGCTAGACAACTGCCTAAGCAATTTTACTATATAGATTCTTGTAATTCGAGTATATATTTACCAACAAAATCAACAACTACAACAACAACAACGATTAGTAAAATCTCACTAGTGAGGTCTGGGGAGGGTAGTGTGTATGCAGATCTTACCCCTACCCTGAGGGAGGAGAGAGGCTGTTTTCGAAAGACCACCGGCTCAAGAAGATGAAAAGAGACAATATCAGTACATAACATCATGAAAATGAGAAAGTAGATGCAAAAGAAAAACCGATAGAAATTACATGCACACGGCGCTATGAAAAACGAAAGAGTAGTAAGGCACAACATTGCCACTAGCTGACTTCAATAGAAACCCTACCATACTAGCCTTACAAAGGTACGAAGTAAGGAAAGACTCAACTATCTCCTAATCTACAACCCTAATACTCGACCTCCACAGCTTCCTATCAAGGGCCATGTTCTCGGAAATCTTAAGCATCGCCATGTCCTGTTTGATCACCTCTCCCCAAGACTTCTTAGGCCGTCCTCTACCTCTTCTCGTTCCCTCCAAAACCAGCCGCTAACACCTCCTTACAAGAACATCTAGACTTCTCCTTTGTACTTGTCCGAACCATTTGAGTCTCGCTTCCCGCATCTTGTCATCAATGGAAGCCACGCCACCTTCTCCCGAATATCTTCATTCCTAATCTTATCCATCTAGTGTGCCCGCACATCCACCTCACCAAAAATAGTACGTAACAAATTGCTCACATGAATTTTAGATATTAGATGTTGGTGAATTAGTATGCATGATAAAGCTGCAAATTCTTAGTCAAACTTATGTGTGTTTGTCAACTGCAGAAAGAAGTGCTAGATGGTGCTAAAGAGATGATAAGAGATGCAATTACTGAAAAGCTTGACATCAAAAGCCTGTTATCAGCTTCAATAAACACATTTCGTATTGTAGACTTGGGATGTTCAGTTGGACCGAACACTTTCTCAGCTATGCAACATATTATACAAGCTATAAAGGACCAATTCAGTACAGATTCCATTAATATTGTTCCTCAATTCCAAGTATTCTTCAACGATCATATCACCAATGATTTCAATACCCTTTTTCGATCCCTACCTGCCGATAGGTCTTATTTTGCATCAGGAGTTCCAGGGTCTTTCCACCGCAGGTTATTTCCCTCAGGATCGATCCATTTTGCACATTCATCTTCTGCTATCCATTGGTTATCTAAGTTGCCAGAAGAGTTATTAGATGAGAAATCCCCTGCGTGGAATAAGGGATTGATTCACTATGTAGATGCCCCAAATATTGCAGTAGTTAACGCTTATATTTCTCAGTTCGACAACGATATGGAAGTGTTCTTGAATGCAAGAGCTGAGGAGATTGTTCCTGGAGGAATAATGGTCCTAGTTTCGCCATTTTCAGGTTATCGTCTCCTCAAATTTTTCGGATCAAGTCTTATTGATATGGTCAATGAGGTATATTATGTACTCCATGGTTTTGCAAAGATTGATATCTGATACTCTCTCCATTCCATTTTATGCTGACACATTTTCTTTTTTATGTCTCAAAGAGTCACATTAATTTCCATATTTGAAAACTATCTACGTTTATCATTCCCATTTTAGCTAGATTTAATTATTGTGACCTATTTCAGATAAAAATTGAACTTTTTATGATGAGAGTGAAATGTGAATGGATATGTGAAACTCATGAAAAACTAGTTAGTTTTGAAGAAATTGACACAGAGATGGAGCTCCACTGCTCAATTAATGGAGCGGTAGATTAGGGCACACGCAGAGAGAAATATTCAAAATGTATAATGACAGCCTTTTATAGACTGATACAGGCTGTATCCTCA